GTGAGAACATGCAGGTAAAAACGGCGAACACACCTCGCAGAATTTGTACTTTCCACGATTGGCGCGCGTCCAGGGACCCAATGGGTATCAATGGAGACGCGTGCCAAACGCAGGAAACAAAGTCCCGCAGACGTGCAGGAACACACATTCCCGCTACACCTGCGTGTCCAGTCCATCTTGTGATGGAGGTAAACGCTTCACTTATTGGTCCCATGCTAGGTCTATGGGGAGTTGGATGTAAATGGAACGTGTCAGTTTACATCAGATTACCCCTGATTCGCTACGGTCAGGTCCGCCAAAACAGGACACCTATTCCATTTGATTTTCCGACCTGGTCGGAGTCGGGGTTAAACGGATGTGAACAGATGCAGGTCCGTTCTAATTCTGGCTACCTATAGACCTAACATTGTGCCTTGTATACACATAGGATGGTTCTTGTGCCTTGTGTACACATGGGTAGGATGGTCCTTGTGCCTTGTATACACATGGATAGGATGGTTCTTGTGCCTTGTATACACATGGGTAGGATGGTTCTTGTGGCCTTGTATACACATGGGTAGGAAGGTTCTCGTGCCTTGTATACACATGGGTAGGATGGTTCTCGTGTCGTCTATACACATGGATAGGATGGTTCTCGTGTCGTCTATACACATGGGTAGGATGGTTCTTGTGCCTTGTATACACATGGGTAGGATAGTTCTCGTGCCTTGTATACACATGGGTAGGATGGTTCTCGTGTCGTCTATACACCGGGATAGGATGGTTCTTGTGCTTTGTATACACCGGGATAGGATGGTTCTCGTGTCGTCTATACACCAGGATAGGATGGTTCTTGTGCCTTGTATACACCGGGATAGGATGGTTCTTGTGCCTTGTATACACATGGATAGGATGGTTCTTGTGCCTTGTATACACCGGGATAGGATGGTTCTCGTGTCGTCTATACACCTGGATAGGATGGTTCTTGTGCCTTGTATACACCTGGATAGGATGGTTCTTGTGCCTTGTATACACCTGGATAGGATGGTTCTTGTGCCTTGTATACACATGGGTAGGATGGTTCTCGTGTCGTCTATACACATGGGTAGGATGGTTCTCGTGTCGTCTATACACCTGGATAGGATGGTTCTCGTGTCGTTTATACACCGGGATAGGATGGTTCTTGTGCCTTGTATACACATGGATAGGATGGTTCTTGTGCCTTGTATACACCGGAATAGGATGGTTCTTGTGCCTTCTATACACCGGGATAGGATGGTTCTTGTGCCTTGTATACACATGGATAGGATGGTTCTTGTGCCTTGTATACACATGGATAGGATGGTTCTTGTGCCTTCTATACACCGGGATAGGATGGTTCTTGTGCTTTGTATACACCGGGATAGGATGGTTCTTGTGCCTTCTATACACCTGGATAGGATGGTTCTTGTGCCTTCTATACACCTGGATAGGATGGTTCTTGTGCCTTCTATACACCTGGATAGGATGGTTCTTGTGCCTTCTATACACCTGGATAGGATGGTTCTTGTGCCTTCTATACACCTGGATAGGATGGTTCTTGTGCCTTCTATACACCTGGATAGGATGGTTCTTGTGCCTTCTATACACCTGGATAGGATGGTTCTTGTGCCTTCTATACACCTGGATAGGATGGTTCTTGTGCCTTGTATACATGTGGATATATAGTGAGAAGAGTCACCCTGATGTGAACTGTTTCCTTCTTGAGGACTTTGGACCGTCGATTGATCACATAGCCGGGAAGACTCGTGGCTAATAGTTGTCAATTAACACTTCAGATGAGGAGAGAGCCAGAAATAGGTCTGGCCAGTAAAATCTGTTCTCTCAGTGCTGTGTGTGGGGATCATCTTCCTGGATCTTGTCGTGTTTTATTTACTTTATTTGTCATTGTAGAATTCTCCATGCCATAAAATGGGATTTCATGGTCCCTTTTTTTTTGGGTGCAGGAGAATGAGTACAGCCTGTCTGGTTCCTGTTTCTTCTTATGTTTCTGTTGGGCAGATTTCCTCCCACTTCCTGTCATTTCACCAGCCCCAAAAATAAGAGGAAATCTTTGCAATGGGGACAGGTTAGAACTTCCTGTCCTTTGTTGGCATGTCCCTCTTGGGAGAGATTGATCTCCATTACCAGTTCCATTTACCAATCTTGGACAGGATGTGAGGGGAAATGTCCCCATTTGTGAGGGTAGATTCCATCCCCAGCCTATTGGGAGCATAGCAATAAAAAAAATGGAGACTCAAGCCCCAGCTTAAAAAATATTGTTTACTGTGTCCCTTTTACTGTAGTATGTCTTCTAGGGGCACGTTGTAGTATGTATGTGTATGTATATATATATATTATGTCATTTATTGAACGGTTTGTTCTTCACCCCGATGACTGAACTGTATGCACAATGTATGTCAGAACTATAACCCAGTGAAATGAAGTGCCGCTACTTTGCATACGCCTACAGAATATTGAAATTCCACTTCTGCCCTCCGGGAACCTCGTCCATTTAATTTGCTTATACTGACTTTTTCTGCACTTGCATTCCTCTGCACCAATGAGAGCTTCCCCCATTGAAGTGTTGGGACTTGATTAGTCTTTGGCTTTTTGCAAACAAGTAGTTCGGGGGGCAAAGAATGGAAATTTAAACACTCCCAATATGCTAAAAATCTAGTGGTACCTGCTTTCTGAATGCACAAAGTTTTCCCCTAACGTCTTCCAGGACAGCATGTGAGATGTGGAGGTACCTCCCCCCAAACAGGAAACACGCCACCATTGCTTAAAAGGCCGCCCCCACTGGCTGCTCCTCAGTTTGTTTCCTCTGCATCACCTGAAGGAGTGCTGTTGGGGGGAGATTACTCGGTGCATGCTGCCCTGATATGTTTCCCCCCTGTATGGTACCGTTCTTAGGCCGCCAGTAGTCCTGGAGATGGAAGGAGGTTCTCTGGTCTCCCCTTCCATGTCTGGACAGGACCTTGACCGGAGGGTGTTTCCTCCCTTGGCTGGGTTCCATTGGTGCTGGCCGGGTGGTCGGCTGGCTGGTGCCTGTGAGCCCCGGGACGCTGTTGGTGGCCTGACCGGATGACGTAGTACGTCGCTTCCGGTAGGAGGTGATGTCATCTTTGGGCGCCGGAGGTCTTGCGCTCCAGACCTCGTTTTCGGCGGAGGGGAGGGCCTTGGAGTTTTTCCTAGTTCCTCCTTTCCCACTTTAACACACACACTTTTTTTTCCTGTCTTTATTACCTTGTGTTTGACCATGTGACCACGTCACTAGGTTTCTACGCTTCTCTATGCAATGCAGGCATGTAAGGCCTGCTGGGAGGGGCCGGCAGTGTGTTTCCTGAAAAATATCACAGCACCCTGCCTCAGTACTTCCTAAAGAGCTCTAAGCCCTGATGCAAGCAATGAGCTGGTTCTTGGGGAGGAGTTCTGAAAATATAACTCCCTATGTAGGATTGATTCTTCTTGTATGGCCTGACTTCTTTGTTGTGGGAAAGGAAAGCGGCCCGATGATGTCTGGTATCTGTCACTAGGGAAGCAAAGTTTGGCAGCAGCTGGTGAGACAAAATGGTATGCAGTTAGTATGTTAAGAGTAGTATTTGTCTTTCATATCAGGCATGATCGTTGCTTTGCTTGGTATAGGCAAGCTTCTCTTTAGTGGAGAGGAATTAGAAGACCCGTCAGGTTTTTATAGCTGTCTGTGTCCCCAATAGGGAGATTCACCTGGTGAATGTTATCACTGAAAGAGAAAGAAAATCCCAAATGTTGGGTTGTCATCAGAACAGAAATAGATGGGAAATCTTCGTGTGAGGACACTAGTTCTAGTGACCACCAGGTATTTACTCTCACTTCCTGTTGTGGCTAATGGACAGGAAGTGAAGAAATATCTCCACAATGGGACACAAATGGCAGAAATTTATAATGTTCCCTTACTCCAATTTTTAAATACATTTTTGGGTTCAGTGCTGCTTTAACCAGTTGCCGTCCGCCCGTTGGAAAAAAACCGGACGGACGGCACTGCTGCAGTAGCGGCATTCTTATTCTGCTTGCGCGCGCCCCCGGGCAGAAAAAAACCCATGCACTGCATAGAGCCGTTACCAGCTGTTTAACATATACCCGATCGGCGCTCTATAGCCAGCCGATCGTGTATATGTGCTGGTGTGTGCCCCCCCCTCGTCTGCCGCCCTCCCTCCTAACCCCTCACCTTCAATCCCGGGATCCGCTAGCCCATCTTCGGCTCGGGAGGGCGTTAGGAGGAAGAGGGAGATCAGCTCCTTGCTGATCTCCCTCCGGGCTGTGAATGCAGAAGTGATGTGTATTATATCACTTCCGCATTCACCTGTCAGTCATCTGGCTGCTATAGCCAGAGAAAAGAATCTAATGAAGCAGATCTCTGCTTCATCAGCTTCTTTTGGGGTCCCCAGGTGACATTAGGGGTCCTAGCTTTTAAAGCGTCACCTATGGCCTATTTTGGGTATTATCGTTTTTTGAGGTTTCGCGCGCACACGCAATTTTAAGGCTTGACATGTTTGCTGTCTTTTTACCCGACGTGACCCCGTCTTTTATATTTTACCAAAAAATTGGGTAATAGTAAATTTTTTATCATTTAATATAGGGGAACACAGTTTTTTTTTTATTTTTTTTTATTTCGGTAATTTTTCTTTAATATAGTAAAAAATAAAACCCGCAGTGGTGATTAAATACCACCAAAAGAAAGCTCTATCTGTCCCTAAAAAATGGTCTAAAATTCATTTCAGTACAGCGTTGCATGACTGAATAAACGTCAGTCAAAGTACCGCAGCGCTGAATACTGAACAATGGCCGGGATGGGAAGGGGGTGTAACACCGCGGACTTCGAGTGGTTAAGGAAAGGAAATGTGTAGCTGTCATAGTTGACCTGGAGATGCTAGTTGCCTTGATTTCAGTGCCTTCTGACTCACTGACCCGGTTTTAGTTTGCAGCAAATTAATGGATATTTTTTTCTCCCCCCTCCATAGGTCGCCTGGCTCTACATGCGATGGGAGCTCTAGCATGTCATCCGAGACTGGGCTTGGTACACGTCTAAGGGCCACATCTGGAATGGGCGACGGAGTGGAAGGGGCTCCAATGTCTGGGGCCCCACAGCCTGCCCCTCCTCAACCACAACCTCAGCTGCCATCGATGATTAACCCTCCTCCTCCTGATATAACAAGGCCGAACCAACTCAAGCGGCAGACCAACCAGTTACAGTACTTGCTCAAATCCGTGCTCAAGACGCTATGGAAGCACCAGTTCGCTTGGCCTTTTCAGCAGCCTGTGGATGCCATGAAGCTCAATTTACCAGTGAGTAAAACACTTGTTGTTGTGGCTTTACCATACGTTAAATCGGGGCCCGGACAAGTGGCGCCTAACTTTTTGAGGTTCTCTAGCTGTTATCATTGTAGCTGGCTCCTGAATTCAAAGTCCTGAAACTAGAACCAGATATTATGCATTGTTGGCTGGGTTTAAAGTAGGGATGCACTGATACTGGTATCGGTATCTGTGCCAATAACAAGTATTTGGGTGAGTACTCGTACTTTCCCAAATGCTCCGATGCCTAGTCCGATACTTCCTGTGTCAGGAAGCCGGGCAGCGCGTCATTACACGCTGCTCGGCTTCCTGATTGGCCGGGAAGCTGGCTCCATGCTCCCTCGTCATTTGTGACGAGGGAGCATGGAGCCGGCTTCCCGGCCAATCAGGAAGCCGGGCAGCGTGTAATGACGCGTCGCCCGGCTCTATGATTGACCGATTCCTTGCTAATCGCGAAGCCGGGTGACGAGTCTTTACACACTGCCTAGCTTCCCGGCTAATCCGGAAGCCAGGTGGTGAGTAATTACTCGCCACCTGGCTTCCTGAATGGGACTTCCGGTATACGGTATCTGCGAGTACAGAAAAAAAATTATCGGTACTCGTACTCTGTACCGAAATACCGGTATTGGTGCATCCCTAGTTTAAACAATGGTTTCGAAACTTTTGTTTGTCTGGGGGCTGCTGTTTATACCTTTTCGCTGCCAAGCTCTGCCTAGCAATTTTTTTTCGCTTAACCTGCGGGCTGAACGAAAAAAATGTACCCGATTCCTCCAACGCAAACAGCATGTCAATCGAGGAATCCCTCGGTTTACATTGTATTCTGACAGGTGCCGCCAGCACCTATCAGAACACCAATCAGAGCGGTCAGCTCATTGGTTGTCGGCTCTGATCAATCAAAACTTTTCCGCCAGGTCCTTCGATCAAATGTAAACTCTGTCTGTCCCAATAGGAAGACTAGAAACAGACGGAGCTCCCCCCCCCCCCGCCCCCCCACCTTCTACACTGTTTGG